TAAGGCTGATCTACCATTAATTACACACGCATGCAATTGCGCCGGCTCATTAACCCAAAGAAGAAAATTCGAACATTTCTGTTTGTCTGGGGAATTTTTTTAATTGCCAGTTGTTTTTAAATAGACTTTTTGCCCTCATATCCTCTCTGTAATCAGTATGGCTGGATTTGACTGTTTCCCTCGCTAGCTTATAAATTCCTCTCCACTTCTCTTCATTCCAGCACTGCACTCCCATTCCCCCAGTACTAATCCTCCTCCAATCACTTATTAATCTTCATTCACAAAACATAAAGAAAAATGGAGAAAGAAAACAGAAGTCGCCAGGTTCTGTCAAGGATTGCAACCAATGATCAACATGCATGGGGAGAACTCCTCGTATTTCCATGGGTGGAATGCGTACGAGAGAAACCGTTTCCACCCCACTCAGAATCCTCAGGGTTTTATTCAAATGGGACTCTTTGAGAATCAGGTTTGCTTGATTTTTTTGCAAATGATCTCCAATTTTTGCTGCAGTCTGTCCAACACTTGAAATCCGTGCATCCAACCTCGCAAAGCTATCAAATAGGCCATCTACACCTTTTTCCAGCTGAAAATTTAAGATAAGTAAACAAATAATCAGTGTGTTGGCCTAATTACACATCAACACAGAATCAGATCCATATAAGAATATAACTCAAAATGCTCAAATTTAAGATAAGAAGTAAACATTTAATCAGTGCGTTCTACTATTTGACAAGAAACCATGAAATTGTCAAAGGAGTTGAGTTGCAGTTGTTAAGTCAATTTGTCAGGAAACAAAAACAAGAACCTTGATTTCAACCTACATAAATTGTTTTCTAATATGCCTTGCTGAAGAACATTGATACAAACTCTTGATGCTCAAACTCAACGTCAATAAATTTCATTTTTAAATTTATTAACTAAAGCAATGGATTTAAAGTAATCGGAAAGAAATTTGTTTAAACATTGAAGGTGCAGAAAACAGCTTTCTTCTTGTTTCTTTGGCACATTCCCTAAAAACAATCCAGAAGTAAGATAATGGAGGTCCTCTATTGACTAACCTCAGCAAGTGTCTTCCGATGCTTTGCATCTTGAACAGATACCTCCTTCTTTAGATTGAAAAGTTTAGAATCAAGCTTCAACAGAAAAAAGAACATTAGAATGGAATGGCAAGTGGTTTTGTCAAACTGGTCACCAACAATCACAAAACAAACCTGCTTACGAAGATCAACCAACTCCCTAAAAGAATCCTTGAACAGAGATAGTAGGGCATCTACTTCTGGAAAAAAAGGAGCAGACAATGCTTGAGAAAACTTTTATGCATCAGATGGAGCCCGTATATTCCCATTTGGCAAAACATTATTGCCATTTATGTTGCCATGTGCATCTGCTGAATCTGCTTCTTCATCTTGAAAAGATGGCAGGAGATCTTTTACCAAGTTCCCGAATAATGCTTCAAATGAAATATCACCCTACCAATTGACATGTCAATCTAATTTATCCACAGATAAAATGACCAAATATAAAAAAAGAATCAACCAATAGTTAGCTAAAAGTACCACAAAACAAATTATACATTTCAAGTCTTTACCTTAAAGTCTTCAATGTCCAGGATGAGTGGAAGGGAGCTAGCAGAGCTGGTTCCATCTTTATTCTCTTTCATCTGTTTCCCACAAAACAAATCAAAAGAACATTATGATAGAAATAGAATCGCCATTGCATTTATTGTTAATAAGCTAGATTGAAACTCTAGAAATATCATAATTTTTTATATTAATATTAAAAAAAATAAAAACAAAAGTTTCTATTCTAGTCTACCAAAAAAAAAAAAAAGGAAAAAAGAAAAAAAATGATCAATAACAGACGTGCACTTTACTATTTTGCTTGACAATTAGTTTAGTCGTCTATGAAATTCCTCAGAATAAGCTCAAACAAGAGCCAAACACAACCCTTATGATATTTTCACATTTAGTGGTCCATTACATGTTTCAATATCACATTGAAATAAAAAAATTAGTTTATTAGTTACATGAATTTTCACATATTTAAACCATTCTTTTCTTCCATATTTCTTTGATGTGAGATCTTGTTCTTTATACTCATAAAGGAAACATCTTTCAATACCCCTCCTTTCACTTTTGAGTTGTAAAACCCAGTGAGAGTTCATGACATGGTCCATGGGTATATTTGTCATGGGCACAACATCATCCATGAATATATTCATCATGAGTTTATATAACTCTCACTTTACTAAACTCGGCCCAAGATCAAAATTACCAATGATTGTATTATGCCATTGGCTCTCATACTATTTGTTAGGAGACATATGGTTTAACGGGATTACATTGACTGATCCATTAAATTTCATTAAAAAAAAAGAACCTATTTTTTTGTTACTTTCATTTATAAAAAAATCTTTTAATAAATAAAAAAGAAATGTACTTTTTTAAAAAAATTTGAATTGTATTAGCAATTTTTTTACATTTTTTAATTTATATTATCTTATTTGTTATGTAATTTAAATTTAAAATTCAAAAATTTTTAAGTTATTTAATTCATTAACAAAAATGTATTGTTTAATATTTTTAATTAAAATTATAAATTAGAATAGGAAAAAATTAATTTATTTCCCCACAAGCTGTGCAAATCATTGATTATTAAAATATTTATAAATCATTATCTACTCATGATTTATTTATAAATTGAATTTCAGTAAACAATA